CGTATATCTTATGTTGTATTTTTTAATAAAAATAATACACCATTTAAACCACAATTGTTTATTATTGCACAAACAAAGGGATTTTGCTGCATGATTCGACTACATTTGTTCAGGTCATCATCATAATCTGTGTCATTGGGCTTGACATATATTCATAGTATTTTAAACAACTTGTCTGACTGAATAAATTAGTGACATCAATGCTGCATATTCCTGAAATTCCAGTTTAAATCTAGGATTACTGTGTGGGACATCTGAAAACACCATACAGATAAATGTTCATTTCACTACTATAATATTCCTAGTCTTAGTCGTTCTGTTTGTTGTTGCCCAGGGTTGATTAGAGGTGAAATTCACCCAAACTAGTTTAACAAGTGAGTCGAATGATACATTGGGCTTCACATTTTATAGATGCATAATTAGTTTCAAGTTAATCGTCTTTAAGTTAAGCTCTGGTAGGATGAATTCAGTTATAAAACTAAGGTTTTAGTTTGTTTTTCGATTTTACTGCTGCCATGTGGCGAAACACTGTATTGTCTGACAGTTTTTACTAAATGGCGTGAAAGAACTAGTCTAGATAATGATTCATTAAAAATGTGGGAGAAAGGTTTCTAAACTTCTTATTGACCTAGGTTTGTTATACAACCCACGTAATTTAATCCTAACTCATGCCTCAAATCAGATAAGGTAAGGTAGGTGTAGCATTGAATATTCTAGTTGTTTACATGTAGTTATTTTTTGTAAAACATTTGAATGTTTTATGTTATTCACGGGACAAAAATAAGAAATCAAAGAAAATGTTTAGGAGTATTTTTCTCACGACAACCTATTTTGTTTTAATAGTCGTGTTTGACGTTTTTATTTTCAATGACCAGTTCGATGCAGGTTTCATCGTATAATTTTATTAGCAAGTTTGTTATTCAAGTTCATCCACTTTTTTTTCTTCTTTTCTTGTAGTAGATGTATTGCCATTTGATAGCCTCTGTTGACAAATATGTTTGAACCTGCTGTCAGAGAAATGAATTTTTGTAAGGATGCTCTCACTAGGTGTACGTGGAATATCACCCCTTCAAATGTTGGGTGGGTCTTTGATCTTATTGGGCGAAAGGCATCGTCTGCCCTTGATATGGCAAGTATAGAATGCTTGACATATTACACATTCTTCTTTGTTTTACTCTTGAGTTCTTAGGATTACACATCATCTTGCAAATTAAACCTGGCTGAGTACCATAGGTTTTAAACGATTTTAAATCGTCGTTATAGTACATGTCGTCACGTCGTTATGCATTCGACGACCGAGCATCTTCTTGACAGCAGCCCTGCAGCTTCGTTTCCATTGCAAAAGGTGCCGTGGTTAAGCTGTTATGCCCAAAGCACAATACTCCTCCCTGTAGGCTTTTTATTATCCATCTATTGTACAAGGAGGATGGTTTCCCAACTCTCATTTCAATAGGCTGGTCGCACAAAAATCCACAGGCAATGTGGTGATGTGGCTGGTATGTCTTCCTATGGAATAGCATGAATGCCCATTTTATTCTCCAACTGTTTGAGATATGCAATGGTTGAGTGGGAGATATGACTGGAAGCCTTATCTTGGTGAAACCATATCATGTTGACCTCGTTTCCAGACGGAGATCCTTCTTCATTGTGTTGGATACAGTTGTCTAGGTCGAGTGGCCTTTTGTGTTTGTTGATTCTCACTTCTTACAAGACGCCGCTCTTTGCGTATTACATCTGGAACGCAACTTGTTGCTTGCCTTTTTCTAAATTGTTTTGGTGCTCCAATTTGATTCATATTCCATTATCTTCCAATGCCATTAAGTACAAGGGATATCCCCGTCTTGAAAAAAATCTAAATCCGCGATCTAAACATGTCTTTGTAATTTGAGTGTATAAACAATTTGCACCGGAAAGGGCGTTACATACCTTTATCAAAACCAATTAATTATCGGTGACATCATGCTACCTACGTAACTCCAATCAATCTCAAAATGTAGTTCTGATTCATGCCGTTTCCACAGGAAACTTGTATCGGTTGTGGTTGTCGCGTGAGATGACGATTTGCATATTCAAAATGCAGCTTACTTAGCTATATACATGTTTTATAGCACTGAAGACAAATACAATTGTGAAGGAGGTCATTTTAATTGTTCAATCGGTGTTCATTTTATATGCTCTACAGTTTTTTTTGCGTTGTTGAATAATCATATATAGATTATTTCTATGCTTGTCTAGTTCAGATACAGAAATGTTTATACTTGATTTTTAATACTCGTGATTTATTTAAATTTACAGTGTATCTACGTATAACAATGTTATCGATGTTAATATTTTGAAACATCTAAAGCTTTATTATCGTAATAGTTTGGAGAGTATGTGAATAGGTTAAATAACGTATTGAAAAAAAAAATTCAAGAATGTTACAGGAAATATCCCTGAGACAGTTTCTTAATGGACAATCCCCCCCCCCTACCCACACCTATTTTTCAGTAAAAGTTTGAATAAACTGTCATCTGACTTTTGTGCATACATGTACAGCCTTTTGTTTCTCTCTTTGTTGATAAAGTTTACATAGTTATAAGTGTTTAGAGAATTGATTGTGTTCATTATCATGACGTGATGTCAAAATAAACAGCTTAAATCAGACATCAGGAAGTTGCACTTTACCAGTTCATATTGTAGATTAAACCTTTTAATGCTATTGGGTATAAAATGGAATAATCTAGAAACTGCTAACTGATGAAACTTAATCCTATTGAATAGTAGTAAAGAGTCTGATTAGGTTATGAAAACAAGTACAAGTTTTATACTGTAGATAGCTAAAGTATTTTACAATTAATGTCCATATGTCACACACACTTTACTTGTAAATTCCTTGAGCTGTTGCTAAATTTTGTGTGTCTGTGGGGGTGGTGGTGAGATTTCCTGGCAACGAAAAGGCTCAATTATCCCTGCTGTGGTTTTAATATTGCAGTGGCCCATTGGTTCAGCGATAAATCTTAAGGCTATAACGCTGAAACCGGGTTTGAATACCTGTTGTGGGCACAGCACAAATAGCCAATTGTGTAGCTTTGTACTCCAAAACAAACAGCACTACTGCGTAACTTGCATTAAACGACACCAGCTTTGGGCATGTAATTAGATTGTATTGGATTCAGGTGTATTCAAAACGATACATTTTTCTTGTTCAGTATAATCTTGTGTAAAGAATGGGTCTTCACATTGGTTTTTATATAGCACGTCACAATTATCTCTATGGATTAACTGTAGAATTCTTTAGTTCATTATTAAACTTTGCTACAGGGCATAATCATAGACTTTTGTTTTTGGTTGTGTTCGTGATTGGCTGTTAGGTGGTTAAGTTTATTTTGTTTGGTTGAATAATATCTTATGAGAAATATAATTAATTATGATCACTCTTAGTAAAGTCGATCACACCATAACATTTGTAATATAACTACTGTGTTTGTTATATCCCAGCTGGCCTAATGAGCTATGGAATGAATGAAACGCGTCGTTGACAACAGACATGGTAGACATAGCGAGTGAAATACTATTACACACTTCTTGGAAAAGCCCTGAGGTCTAATGCTAATGTTTTATGACAAGTATAATTAATTACAAACAGTGCTTGATTATTCATGCATTCACAGTTGCTGCTATGTTATTGTTTTGACTGCGATTTGTTTTAAGAAAAACATAGTCCGACTATAGCGCATGTAAGAACTCAACAGTCTAGCAAACACTCCACTTACGGTATCCCCCTTAATCACAGCCCCTCTCCAAGTCTGAAATACACTAAAATACAAATAATACTACATTGATTTTTAAAATTGGTAGAAGCGCCTCTGTATCAATGCCAGTGCTTTGGCGGAACGTTATTTAACAAAAACACGAATTATCTATATAGTCAGAATGAATTACAACAAGCGTACTGAATAGAATTAAGACGTTCTTAGATAGAAAACACACGAAAGCTGTACTTAACTGCAGAAACTTAAACCACCAATCAAATTACTTCCTCTTCGTTTTTATCATACCGTCAGTGCTTCCTTTATTTCAAACTCCAGTGATATGATTATAGTTTAGTTATATTAGTAAAATTCCACTAAGACAACACTGTTGAACTTAATGTAGTTTTTCCACTGCACTCTTTATTCTTGAATAGTTCCAAGAAGAAGAGTATGCTATAGTATTTCAACCATTTTATGTTCGACGATGGATATGATGGTCATAGTGTTGTTGAAATACTATTGTTCTAGAAAAACTGATGAATAATCTGATATTTAAAAATACAGTAAGCCTGATAATATTGTGCTGTAATAAAAGTAATTTATTATTATTATAACGATTCGCCAGACGAAAAGTATATTCAAATGGTAACATATTTTATCATTTTGTTGTGATTTATAGGCACTTACTGACCAATCATGACTTAAAATACTTCAGATGTTTGGATAACGTGACATACCGTCACGATTGATTATTAATTATTGTTCAGCAAACTAACTGGTTATTTATGTAGTTGTTATTTTTTGTTTCTTCACCAAAACGTGAATTTCAGGCCTAAACATAACGTCATCTTTTCTTTACTTAAGTTCACGTTTTGACGAAGAAAAGAAGTTAACAACTAAATTGTTATCGTTATAATTCTCTTCTCTATAACTTGTTTTACAACAGTTGTTTTTATCTTTTACTATTGAATTATTCTTTATTTTAAAATGTATTCCAAAGGGTTATTAAACTAAACATCTTTAAGGTGAAAGCAGAAACCTAAAGTTGAAAAAATATAATGAATAGCCCAATAATTGATGTGCACGTATAGTTTTTCTGCCAGTGTGCAGTTGTGAGAACGTCTCATTTAATTTTTGTTTCACTTTCGTACAGTTAAAAACGTAGCTAAATTTGATGATGTGTGTTGGTCATAGCTACAACGTAAGAATGGCGTAACAAGACAGGCTGTGATTTACGAATTACTAAGGTTCTTACAATTCGTCATTATGCCTAGTCCAGTATGGGAATACTTCACCATTGATGAAACAAAAGCTGTACGTCAACTATGTGATTATGAGCCCAAAGTATTCACTTCAAGAAGCGGTATGCAGCCAAGATATTTTTAACAACACACTTTTAAATCACTTAAAGAATAAACAACCCGATTATTATTAAAAATGGATGAAGAAAGTAAATGTTAGAAATGAAGCTACTCGGTATGAACTCACTTCATGTAAGTGAACATTGAATAAGCACTATTGGAAACATAAGAAAAATAGGTAGTGGGATATGTAGCTATAAATACACTACATAATTGGTGAAGATAACTGGTAGAAGATAAAGGTTTCAAGCATCTCTTGAAAGCACTGAAGCCGTGTATAACGTACTAAGTAGAAACTAATTATTTGATGTTTTTATTCTAGTCGTATATGCTCGTTCAAGAAATGATATCCAACTCAGTCTCATTAGTATCAGATCTTTGGAACTGGAGTATCAGCAACGCAAGTTTCCTGACTGTAAGTAGCCACTGTCTCACGGGTAATTTTATTCATCAGTCTGTGGTGTTGAACTGTTGCCCCTTTTTGTGGCAGCCATGACAGTTGAAGATATCATTCGGTATCTAGGGCTTAGGGCCGCGGGATCGAAACCTGTCGCCGAACATACTCGCCCTTTCAGCCGTGGGGACGATTATAATGTGACGATCAATCCCACTATTTGCTGTTAAACAATAGCCAAGAGTTGGCGGCTAGTGGTATTGAATAGCTGCCTTCCGTTTAGTTTATCATTTCAAAATTGGGAACAACTAGTACAGACAGTCTTAGTGTAGCTTTACACAAAATTCAATGAACAGTCAAGGACTGTTTCTTGATTGTAACATTGACAATAACATCATGGAATGTGAATATACTGATTCATGATGATGCAGCAAACAGGATCATTGCGGCTTGCGCTGCAAGCATTATACATGAATTATGTTTTAATCATGCACTCCAGTTTAAGATATATACCAAAAAGCACCATAATTGGCGTCGTTTCAAAGGGTTGTGAATTGTTAGTCACTTCAAAATTATCTCGGACTTGTTCAACGTGTTAATACAAGGTAGAATTCAACGGACCTCGTGTTAACTTGACTATATGAGCGAAAACATGTTGTTAGAGTTTACAGTTTACATCATAGGATCTCTTCTCTTACCTCGTATTAGTGGAGTCTTTTGGAAAACTTCACTAATTGCCTAAACCAGCAGTTCTCCATCAGGAAGTTCGTGGAAAGTTTGTGTAATAACGGAAAGCAAGCTTCAATCTATAATCCCCAGAGATTGAAAAAAATGATATGGTCTGCAAACAAAAAACGTTTAAGAACTACTGGCTTAATCTGTACGAGGATATAACATCAGAGTTTCTTCGTGCTGCTGTTTTAGCTCCACGATTCAAGCTGACATTTGGGGAAGAAACAGTATATAATTGGGAAAATCAAACTTCTTAAAGAAAAGCAGGAAGAAGTTAAGGCAGACGCTTCAGTTTCAGGAGGTGGATCGTATATAGAAGTCAGCACTGCAGGCGTTTACAATACAAATACAACTACAGAAATCTCTCGAGTTTCAAGAGAAGGATCACATATGGAATTCATCACTGCAGACGTGTATAGTGCAAATACAACTACAGGAATATCTCCAGTTTCAGGAGAAGGATCATATATAGAAGGCAGCACTACATGCGTGTGTAGTACTAATACAACTACAGAAATCTCTCCAGTTTCAGGAAATGGATCAGATATAGAAGGCAGCACTACAGACGTGTATAGTGCAAATACAACTACAGAAATATCTCCAGTTTCAGCAGAAGGATCATATATAGAAGGCAGCACTACAGACGTGTATAGTCCTAATACAACTACAGAAATATCTCCAGTTTCAGCAGAAGGATCATATATAGAAGGCAGCACTACAGACGTGTATAGTGCAGCTACAACAACAGACATATTCAGGAGATGGATCGTATGTGGAAGTCAGCACTAAAAAACTTGAAATGTCTGGTGCAACAAAAAAGCTATTACATCGCTGGATATTTGTCATAAATAATGTCGGTGAGCAACAGAACCAATACAAGTTCATGTGTTGCTTCAAATCATGTATCAAAATAATTTGATGTTTGTTTACCTTGGAGCGGTACTTTTCTCAGTAGGAAAGCTCACTCACCTGGTGAAAACAGAGTGAAATTCCCTAACCTGGCAAAGTTGGCGTAACGTTATCTATCACCTCCTGCTAGTAGCATTTATGGTGAAGCAGGCAATATCTACGATAAGAAGCGCAGGAGTCTTCTACCTTGAAATGCAGAAAATGTTGCCCATTGTGTAGCTTTGTGCTTAACTTAAACAAGTAATGTGCGTTACTTGATATGGTTTCTTAACCTGACTTCTTGAAATATTGTCTACAGTTGTCTGTACTCTCGGCTACTCACAGTCAAGTAAGCTTATTATTCACTCTTCCCTAGAAGCACGTGACACCTTGGTAACTAAAAATCTACAATACCATAACGAGCCTATTACTGGTAAGAAACACCTACGGGCTAGTAGTCATGGATATAAGTATAAATATCCCTGAACGCAGCGAATCTCACAATATTCACTTTTTATAATACTACAGCTACGTAACAAAACATTCATAAAAAAAAAGTTTTCGACTACTCTATGATTCAACAGAATTTGGAAATAGCAATTGGTTACAATGAAACATCACGTAAAGATGATGTTAAATTATTTTTTTCTTGTTTGCTACATTTTCACTTGTTTTATCGCATTTCTTCTCAGTTAAAAATAATGTAGTAAGTTACCAGCTTTGTGGTAATTGGAAGGAGGATTCAGTATCATGGAGTCTGGTAGTTAGGACAATCTACGGGTAGCTGGTTCGAATCCCGTCACCGAACATACTCACCCTTTCAGCCGTGGGGATGTTATAATGTGACAGTGAATTCTACTTTTTGTTGGTAAAAAGTAGTCAAAGAGTTGGCGGTGGGTGGTGTTGACTAGCTGCCTTCCCTCCAATCTATCACTTCTAAATTAGGAACGGCCAGCGCAGATAGCCTTAGAGTAGCTTTGCGTGAAACGTAAGAAACAAATAAACAGTATCTAAGGTCCAAATGGAACCTGACCTTCCCAGATAAAAGCGAGACCAAAACACCGACCAAGAACAAGAGGTCGGCCATAGACAAGGAGAAAAGAGCCAATTAACGACAAACTAGGCGTACTCGTAAATAATAACTCTTTTCAAAACAAAACTTAAACCTAACCTTTTAATTTCATCTTTCCCTTTCGAGGTTGACATTTATATTTAAAAACTAGCACCCAAATCCCAACTTCTGTTTTCCAGTGTTACGTATAGGTATCTGAAGTTGAATTGTTTTACCAGTCGATTTGATATCTAGGAAGTTGACTCGGCGGCAAAAGTCTGATGGCTTCTACCACTAATAATTGAGATTCGATACTCCCAGTGGGCACAGAACAGAAAGCCCACTGTGCAGCTTTGTGCTTAAGAACAAACAAATCGTCTGGTACAGCCATAATTTGAATAGCATGCTGAATGGAGTTTTATCAGCATTAGAAATAAGGAAACCATAAAGAATTGAAGATCAAAGTGTAACTAACAAGTTAACCGTTTTTTTGTCGGTTCAAAACAAGATGTTTCGTCACATAACAAAAACTGGTTAATTTTCAAATAGTTTCAATAAAGTGATTTATTCAGAGAAACAAACATATATGTGCATTTTTTGCCTAATCAATAATTTCATGTATTAAGCAGTAGAATATACGTTTAACAACAACAGTAATCATAATTGTCACAGGGCTACCCTTTGTATAAGAATTCTCCTACCGAATATTTTGCGAAATATCGAATAGAACTTAACAGATATTGAAATTCGATGACGAGGAACCCACTTTGAGACTAATAATGGTTGGAGATGGCTTGAATGATGATGATGACAAAACCTTGTCGAAACGTTGTACATTTGCTGTTATGTTAAACTTATATTAAAGTTTTTCTTCATTACCCATTCAAGCCGTCTCCAGCCATTAACAGAAATTGAATTTTCTGGGCCGAACCGTATCATGGAGATTTTTTGCCGAATAGAAATTCAAAAGATGAAAATGACCGAAGGTCAAGATTATATTAGAAGTTTGTAAAGGTGATCAAGTTATGGCAAAGACCACACAATAGGCAGAGATTCCTGATGTCCAGGGACTAACTTGAAGTGAATATATAGTAGAAACGGATCATATGGGTATTAAAAATATTGTTGCATATTTTGTGTTTTGAAATGGTTTTTTAATACCCATATCAGCTGTATTTACTGTATATCCCATTCTTCGTGTATATTGTTTGGTAAGGGATATATATTTTTTAATATGTCATTAAAACAAAAACTGTGTTATGTTGAATAATAGTTTGTTTGTTTGTTTTTAATTATGCACAAAGCTACACAAGGGCTATCTGTGCTCTGCCCACCACGGGTATCGAAACCCGGATTCTAGCGTTGTAAGTCCGCAGACATACCGCTGTGCCACTGGGGGGCTTGAATAATAGTAGTAAATAACATGTTGTTTAATGCTTAATGTTCTTGACTAACTATTGAATGTGTATGGTGTTCATGTCTAGGGATTATTCCAAATTGCACGAGTATCTGAACCACTCCTTGAGATGGTTATGCCTCTCTCTCTAGGGGGAAAAGACAGGGCCAAAGTGATACAAGTCTAGCTGTTGGGATATGCAAACTTTACTTGAGTAAAATGATTGGTACATATTTACGACATTTGGTTAACAAGAATGTCATACTACATGCAGAATACCTGCAAGAAATTTACAGAATATTTCCTGGATCAAGACACACGATAGTGTGTCGTGCAACCAAAACCTACTGCCGGACACACTGCGTGTTAATAACAGGAGTGATAAATTTCCACCTTCTGTATCTCGGATTGTAGTAATCCAAACTATCACATATTTTTAATGGATGTGTTCTACTAGACTCTTACTGCACATACCAAATTTCAAGGCAATCCATTAAAAAATATCCGAGATAAAACATCACCAATTTTGATTGAGTTTCTTCCTTTTTTTTTATATTCTTCCCACCAAAAGTACGGAAATTTTATTTGATAGGAAAACATACTTAACATTTATGGATTTTTTTTTCAAACTTGGTACACTGATAGATCTTTTCAACCTACAATTAAGAGTCTCATTTAGTGTAAATATAAGCCACATGTGCAAAGTTATTCAACAAAAACCGATCAATTTTGAATAAAATTTTTGCGCATACCAAATCAAAAAGTCACGTGAGCTATCGGTCTGAAATTTTTACTGCAACTTCACCTAAGAGTAAAAGTGACCGTTGGCTATTTGTCATTCTGATTAAAGACTTCTGATTTAGAGCAGAAAACTAAGGAAAAATGATTTACAGATACATAAGTATTGGTTGGGCCAAGCAAACTAGATTAGCAGTTTCTAGCTCAAGTTTTCAAAAGAATCACACGGGTGGACGGTTATTGTTGATTATTCGTTGCCAACTTTTCAACACAAATTTACTAAATTCTATGAAACTATACTAATTAAAGAGCGTTTAGCGTCACGCGATATTAGCTTAAATAATTATCATAAATAATGATGCTTAATTGCATGGGGGGTATGACAAGACACTGTTCATCTAAATTCCATGACGTTACTATAAAGGAAGCTATTAACACTGTTTTAGAGAAATAAAACTACCACCATATATATTATAAAGAATCTGGTTGGTTCTGTAAAGTAAAAGTCTGTTCCGAATAATAGGGTTTCAATCCTAAATCTAATATGGGTTACTGTCGAGTGTCAGCTATGTTACTTGCTGTAGTTTGTTTGTGTGTATTGACAAAAAGTCAACCTTTTGGGTGGTGGGGGAGTAAGGCTCATCCCCCCGTAAAGTTGTTTGTTTCAGTTACTATAAATGTTAATGATGTATTAACACGAAGGCCGGAGCATTTTAGCGGATACTTCGTCCGACCCTCTTCATAAGCCATGTCCAAGTTTAACACAATCTTAACATTTATGCGTGGAGAACACTTCTCTGATGCTAGGTCCGTGCAATAGCCCTGCACACTCACTAACAGTTCTGTAATCGCTCACGCACTTTTCTCTAGTTAAACTTACTAGAAGTCTATTTACATATATACCCTAATAATACACTGATAATGTATTAATCTAATGATGTATTGCAATATCTAGCTATAGGTGGCTTATGTATTATAATTAATGGGGAAAGATACTTAGGTACTATTATGTATGAGATGTTTCATAATTTCTGTTAAGTTTTTTAAAGATTTTTATCGAAATACTTCACTGTCAGATGTTGGAGTCTGTCAGATATGTAGGGCATGTTTGAATATTTATTAAAAAAGGAGTGACCGTGCGACTTGAAGGAATGAAATCAAAATTGGCGCATAAACTGGTAGCTACATTTATAGCATTGAAAAGAATTTTACAGTAAATATTCATTCATTATTTAGCCAGGCTGCGTTCCATTTTTATTCAACTTGAGGCATGATGGCGAGTAAAACAAAATACGTGGCATAGCTAACTAATGAATGAACATTTACTGTAATATTCTTATCAGTGCTATAGCCCACAAATGTCTGCGAACTTACAACGCTAGAAACCAGACTTCGATGCCCATGGTGGGCAGAGTACGGATAGCCCAATGTGTAGCTTTGCGCTTAATTACAAACAAACAGTACTATAAGTGTAGCTACCAGTTTGGTCGCCAATTTTGATTTCATTCCTTTTAGTCGTACACTGAAAAAAAAAATTTTTTACCGCATTTTTTTTTTTTTTTTTCACACACCTAAGGTGCTTTTGATTAGATATATCTTACTCAAGATGTTCGCTAAACTAGCTATGCAAGGGTGAAATGTATGAATATGTTTATCATTGCTTGAGTTTTCATTGAATATAAAGAATGAATTATTTCCATTTAATGTGTGTGAGTTTTGCTGGTGAACTGCACACCAAAAAAAAGTTGTATGTTAATAATAGTTTTGTAAGCAAATTTTCAGAATCGTATATTTTCCATAGTTATTAGAAATTAACTCTGGGTCTGATATTCACTCTCAGGGCACCACATTTGAGGTAATAATGTGTGTTCTGACTCCACCTTTGACTGGTGTCTGGACATCATACAAACACTTCACTTCACAAACACTTAAACTTCAGTCACTCTTGACGACAGTTCCTGATTTTGTATTCTTACACGTTGTTGTTACGTATAGTCGGGAACATATAAATCTTTCTGTTAGTAATTCATCTTAATGATACACTCATTTTTATTTTGTTTCTAATAAACCTTGGAACAAGAAATGTGTATGATTATACAGCTATAAATCATTTCAGTATATTGTAGGAAGAGAACAGATGACTGCAGGGGGTGGGGTGCGGGGGAGTGAGTACTTTAAGTTCGTTATTGTTTCAGTGTTTTTCGACTTTCATCACATGTGCTTGTCTGTTTAAACTTTCCCCATGGTAACAAATACAGTCAATAATCGCCTTAAAGCGTCAGTTAGTGACAATCTTGTCAAAGCTTCAAGGTCGAAGTTTATAAGTAATGTAATAACCTGTTTGTCGAGACTGCACTCGTTGATGTACAAGCAGAATATCTTGGTACATGTTGTGTGTTCCGTTAGTCACGTATGGACGAGATCTGATTAAAGCCACCTGCTTCGCCCGTGTGAACCTAAGCAAACGTTGCTCTTCGTTGGAATGGTGTACGAGCAGTGACATTTTGTTAGTGATTTGGAAGTGGTGACTTTGAACACATATTTGATCGAAGTTGTAAGTATTAGAGTTGTAATTATTTGTACCAATTAATACCACAATACTAGTTTAATTAATCCACAATAAATTGAACGCAAAAAAAATAATTAAGAATTCTACTTTATCTCAAATAGTAGGCAATATCTCCTAAACACAGCAAAATAAAGCAACTTAGCATTACTAACATTTCATTATTTTATTCGTGTTTTGTAAAATTAAAATTACATTCAGCTTAACTTCAAATTCATCACATCACATTTTGGTCAATGTAACTCGGTGATGATTCTTAGGTGAATTATAAGCCAAACAGCACGTAAATAACATGATGTAATGCAAAGTTGTTCTTCAGGTGTTATCACCTTCTGGTTGAGCTAAAGTAAAATTTCTACTTTTTTTCTTCACTCAAATATTTTGGACGGATTTCATGTATTTTTGTTTGTTTCGTCTATCCAAGACACTTGCATTGTAATCATTATTGTTCAACTAGATCTTTAAAGGTTTAAAAGGAACCAACTCAAACAGAGCAGTGATATGCAGATCGGGATATTGCTAACAGTACACATCTTCAAATGGTATTGGAAAGTGCGTTCCCTTTAAGGTTAACAAAGTGTGCATGGCCAGGTGGTTAGGGCGTTCGACTCGCAATCTGCGGGTCGCGGGTTCGGATCCCTGTCCCGTCAAACAATCTCGTCATTTCAGCCGTGAGGGTGTTATGATGTGACGGTTAATCCCACTATTCGTTCGTAAAAGAGAAGCCCAAGAGTTGGCGGTGGGTAGTGATGGCTGGCTGCATTTCCTCTCGTCTTTCGCTGCTAAATTAGGGACGGCTAGCGCAGATAGCTCTCCTGTAGCTTTGCGCGAAATTCAAAACCAAAACTATAAACAAAATGTGAGAAATAACCGGAAGCAGCAGTTACACCGAATGATACTCTCGTTCTCAGCTGAGGTATGGTAGGTTAACCCTGGGAACGAGAGCGAACGAATGAAGAGTATTATTTGTGTACATATTAATCGATATTCTTTTTTCATTCACATCTGATTTGGCACGCTTTCAAAAATATATATTTACTGTTAAAAAAATAAGCACGTAAATGCCCCAGCTAAGTAGACGCAGGTTGAATTCACTACTTCATGCCGCTAGCGCTAGGATTAATTAGCGTGTTTGTATGTGTATACATGTGCAATGCTGACCTTAAGTTATGTGCTTGCTGTACATACACAAGGCAAGTTTCCCACTTGGGTGTTTTTATCAATTCCCACAATTTATTATTTCTTTTTGTGTAAAGTTAAGCGGACTTCAAAATTTGAAGTACAGCTGAGGAAGGCCAGAAAACACTTGAAGACATGGTATTTTTCATGGACAATATTGTGGAGTTTATACTCTACTAACAACATTAGTGTTTAAGTTTAGAATTACCAGGAAGTTAAGTCTCCCTATTTGTACTTGGCACAACTCATGAAGTACTTAGCCTTTGTGCTCTGAGAGAAATGGTGTTATTGTTTCTACATATACAATATACTTTTTCAATCTAGATTAATGTCATTAAATGAATCTTGGAGACTCCCCACGTCGTTAGTACATTTCACCATGTCAGGTAGTGCTCTAGCTGATGACCATTCACCTTTTGCAATAGTTTCCATGGTAAAATACTCCGTTGTAAGGTTGCCATGTCCAAAGCACACTCCTCATCCCTACACGCTTTCCATAATTTATTTAAATGTACGAGTATAACAGTTTACCGGCACCCATTTCAACAGTGTAATCATACACAAATCGAACGTCACTGTATTTGACAATTGGATCAGTATATCTACATATGAAAGAACATGAATACCCATTCCATTCGTCAGTTGCTTGAGATATGCAGTGGTTGAATGTTTGTCATGCAATAAACCGAGACTTGTTTGCCATTCTAGATGAAGATAATCTTGAATATTGTTACCTCGGTCACGTGGACGTGTTTTGCAACTGATTTTTGTGTTGTTACGTGACTTGCTGATTTACATTTTTTAACATAACATCTTGAACACACTCAGTTTTTGACTCTTGTTGTAAATATTTTTATTTTACCCTGTTTAACACTGTGTTCAATTTCTTTAATCAAGTCAAATTTTCGGCTATCACTCTATAAATCTTTTCGTTTTCGAATCTCAAGTATCTGTTAGTAATCGTTGAACATGAGAATACAACATATTTAACTGTTCTGACCAGAGAAGGAGAAGCTTTAGAAGATTTTATCTATTTCGTTAATTTTTCAAACTAATACCCAAGATTAGGTATATGTGTGAGGAAATTATAATTGTTTTTAAATATGACTAGGTTTACGTTGTTTCATTTGTAACAGTGAATAATTTTTCTGAATGAAATAAAAACATCAGTATTAATAGTAAATTATATATATAGGGAGTAAGTCTTAGTTTGTATTGTGTGAAAAGCTAACAAATTGTTAAAGTTAAAATGACTTATACTTAAATACAAAGCTCAGTCAATAATGCTATTCATCACTTGTCACTAAAGATATACCTGTTGTACAGAAATCTAAACATCATCAGTAACACTGGACAAGGGGAAATCGAAACAAACGAACATCAATAATATGCTTCTTATAATGCTGAACTGTATATTGGTGTTTTTAGTTGTATTTTATTCGTCACAGTGAGACTGTATTTATATAGAATTTGAAGAATATATAGAACTGGTGCTACTAGTTAATTCTTATAAATTATTCAGCAAACAAGATGTTTGAAATAATAAAAGTAATTATAATCACAATGCGATTTATTGTATAAACCAGTTACAAGTAGTGAAAACTTAAAAATTATCACCACAGGCTTGTCAAGACTATCTAACGATGTCCCCTCGTCTGAGAAGAGTTGAATAAATCCAAATAACAAGCCATCAATAAAATTAATTTTTCTGAAACATACAAGTTAGCCAGTTGTACAAGATGTATATGTGTGCATGTAACTGGGAAGAAAAACTACACGAATAAGTCAATACGTACTTTTTACAAAGATTACTAGCATAATTCAGTTAAAAGTCATTACTTACTCAAACAACAAGAAAACCAACCATCCATGCACACGGTTTGTTGATTAACTAAGTTCACGTATTTGTATCAAATACTATCACACAGACAAACGTGCATGTATTACCGTGTTGTTTTAATTCATACACGTGATAACAATACCAACATTAGCAAAAACACTAAAATCAAACAAAACGAAAGGGAAAACATACGTTTTAAATGATAAAAAACAGCGTTTAATTTAAGTGTTTATTTCCACGTAAAGAGTAGTAATGGATTGTTTATTTATTGTTATCTTAAGGAAGGCCAAACTACCCAACAAAAAGTTGCCAATCCACTCATCCAGGCACGAAAGATAGAAAGGACGACGTGTATTTATATCCACGTAAAGAGTAGTCATTGATTGTTTATTTATTGTTATCTTAAGGAAGGCCAAACTACCCAACAAAAAGTTGCCTATCCAATCATCCTGACACGAAAGTTAGAAAGGACGACGTGTGTATTTATTTCTACGCCTGAAGTTTCCAACAAGCTACATCAGTTGGGTGCAGTTTAATTTATAAGAAGTCGTCATGGCTGAACACGCAACGTCAATAGTGGCAATAGAAGGTATGACTTGTCAATCGTGTGTCAGCACTATTGAGAAGAATATTTCAAGCGTTCCTGGGGTGAAGAGTATTAAGGTGAGCGTATTAAAGCAAGATATATATATATATAAACAATCGTCAACATATATTAATTTCATTAAAATTGGCAGTTAAATATTTCAAGCAAATTATTTGATTTTTAAAACATATTTTGTAGCCTGAAAAGTCGAGCTTTTTATAAAAATGTATTTTAATTGATATGAAAAGAACAAGTTTTCCAAAGTAATTTTTATTTTTTCAATAACTGTGTATATTTGATATTTCAAGTATTCATGACATAAAACATTTTGAAAGTAAGTGCACAACCTATTTGAGTGTGAAAAAAGGTTAAAACATTTTTTTCTATAAAAGCATGTTGTACAAATAAGACTACTGAGGAATATGTTTTTTAATTATTCGCCATAGGTCGCTATCAAGACATGCCCACTAATATATATCGATTGTATTCAAAACGTAATACAGTCGATGTTGAATGAAAAAAAAAGTAATATTAATTTTTACATTTATTTCAATCAGTGTAATTGAAGATATAACTTGCACAATTGCTGTTTATCTGGATGTTTCTAGGATTTGGATTGCAGTAATAAACGTTTATATGAAACGTCTTGAAGTTGAGGATAACAGAAATAAAGACCAGCGTCCTCGTGTATTTCTTTTTAAAATACAAATTCAGAATATACTTATGAGTAATTCGCAAGTTTTTCTATTGTAAGTATTATATGAACGATAATGGTTGGCTTTAAGACTATTTTAATAGTTTTAGTTTAGAGGATGGAACAGCCGAGATGGACCAATTGGTCTCATGTTGTCCCAAAACGTTGTTATGTATAACAATTTTGGAAAAAAAAATTACAGGAAACATTGGAGAACGTGCCTGTTAGTGTTAAATATTCAGCTCCTTTACGCCCTCGAGTGGCACAGCGGCATGTCTGCCGGCTTACAACATTATACAACAGGGTTTCAAAACCCATGCTGGGCAGAGCACAGTAAGCTTTGTGCTTAACTAAGAAACAAACAGTTTTTGTCATATTTGATAACCACTTAATACACACAACTGTAAAGATATTGAACTCAATTGGTAATTGGCTTATCAATACTCAGGACTATTTCTGAGATAATGACTTATGATAGCGTCGTAAAAATATGTTAAGTTTATCTAGCGCGTACCGCGGACTTCGATGTACTAAAACAATATTGAAGAGTTAATATTTTTTCTACAGAATATATTTTTTATTCAGTCAAGTATTAAATATATATACAAAACTAAGAAAATACCTGTTTCTTAGCATCTTAACGTAAATATGACGATATCCATGTTTAAAATCTTTGAAAGTAATTTTAACCTTACTTTAGCAAAGTTGTTTAATTTATTGGACAATTATATTATTGTCTTTTTAACTTGTCTCGTCATTTCAATAGTTACCTAAATTTAATTTATGTATGTGAATAATATTATGACACTGCGCCAGATTTATCCGGTATTATACATTGGACCAACTGTTTGATAATATTACAGATAACCATTCTTTTCACCAAAGGTAAAATTGAAAACACAATCTGACGTACAGATCTAATATATTATTTGATTCGCCGTACCCCCCTGCTGTTAAGTCCCCCGGTGGGGCAACGGTAAGTTTACGGATTTACAATGCTAAAATCAGGGGTTCGATTCATCTCGGTGGACACAGCAGATAGCCCGATGTGGCTTTGCTATATGAAAACACACGCCCTTGTTGTTGCTGTTGCCTGCAGTTTCGCCTATTCAAGGCTCATCAGCACCATATGGGTCAATAAATAAGAAACGCTGTGTGTATGGTAGTCATAAAGTTTGTAAGCCATTTTAAACTTACCGTTTAGTAACTTAATTATTTTAGGTATATGAACAGTATTGTGGTATTTCTACAAAATTATTATTCGGTATTGTACAGTGAACTAATTGTTTGATTATGACATTACAGATTTATTTTCACGAAAGTTAAAAGTTAAAATACAATATGCGAGTTAAAAAGGGCCTAAAAACTCCTTAAGTATTGTTACGTCTCTGGTCGTTTGTTAATTTCCGATATAAATTCTTCCGGAGGAACTTCAGCGATACAAATCCTTTCCTAAATAAAACTAGTTTATTCTTTCTCAATACAACTTTGTAATACACAAAATTTCCACAGTGACTTTGACTTCAACACACACTATAATTCACAACAATTCACACACTTTACTTACGGCCAATACCGCTCGCTTGAGTCAATTATCTGTCTATATGCAATTAGATCTCCGCTTTATTTGCCGGGCTTATATACTAAAATAGAGGGCGCCTAGAAAAGACTAGAGTTGCCAGGAAAAGTCAAGATCCTTCGAGAATCTCATGACGTGTGTTACCAGAGTCACGTGACTTCCGCTGTCGTAACAGTATCATATACGTACCACCATTATTATAAAGCCTTACTATACCTATGGTTTGCTGGTCTAACTGTATTTTCAATTTTACCTTTTGTGAAAATAAAATAAGTTATATATAGTCGTCATACTATTGGATAAATAATACAGCATCTTGTAACAAAACATCGTCATCTCTGCCTTTACAGATAGCTCAGTAAACGCATAAGGCTTATTACTATTTTTTATATGTGTGTGTGTTCATATTATCCGCAGATTCACTTTCTTTAAATTTAACCACAGTTCTTTGCTTGCAATTTTGTGAAAAACTGCGGAATTGTGTGGTTATTTTTATGACGGAATTGCACGTGGCAGCTATTAAATATACCAAGTTGTTAGTTCCGTGAACTAAGCCTAACTTAATCTTTTTATACCACATAAAGAAAGTAATATTATCACTTTGTGATTTCGTTTGCTGCTGTTTGAAGAATTATATTCGTTATTTGTTTTCTGGTGGTTTTTACTAGATATGACGTTATACGTGTTGATGTAACATATGAATGATGTAAATTTTACTCATTTTTCTTGTAAATGATTAATCAACTCTTGAAAAGTATGAATAAATATTCTTATTTCTGATCTAGATTGAGTACATTATATTCACTAGCAAAAACGCCGCCATACGGGCGGATCTTTTTGCTAGCAATTACTAATCGTATTATTCATACCTCATCATAATAATTTTAGAAAAAGTGAACATTTTCTACAAGAAATATTTTTCTGAGAATTACTGCACGGGAAAAGTGTTCGGATTGTGCTGATATAAACTGTAATGTTTTTATTTATTAAAAGTGGTACCCTTTATTGAAAAAAAACGTTTTTTTTTGTAAGAACTCCATTTTTTAGTATTATATTTACAAATTACATCAATAAAGATATAATCAAACCCTCACGTATGGTTAAAGTGAAAGTCGTATTTTTGTTGAGAGAAGAGTACTTTTATTTAAAAGTGTGTTTTGTGATAAAGATGTTGCATAAAGATATTTTTCTAAATGTCTGAATCTTGAATACCCAAAGTGTGAGTTTGTTAAAACATTTTGTTTGTGGTGCCATTTAATAGATGGCGCCACATGGTGTTTATTATTTCGGTCACATACATAGATAAATACATATACACGCTACGCCCATTATAGTAAGAAGACGTGCAACAGTGTAAATCATATATTCATTGCAAAAGAAAGATGAACAGTAACATACAATTTTCATTACGAAACTATCTGTATTATTTACATTTTCAGATTTGAAAATAAATTGGATTTCAATTATGATTTTGTTTTGGTGTTAGTTATATTTTAGCATGAGCTGCAAAATGTCTTGTTTTAATTTAATGTCATAGATATTGTGTTACTTGAATTTAATAAGTTTGTTTGATTGGCTGTCACACGAATTTTTGTATAAATAGATAAACTTGTATAATTTTTCTGTGGGCTACTTGTAGAGTATAAGTAAAGAAAAGTCGTTCGTTCTCCTCACTCATTAGCAATATCCGCTTAGAACTGTGAGTCTACATTCTAAAAATGCCTTGTTATTCCACTTACTTGGACCGAGCCATCACAGGAAATTTGTTTTTATCGTTGTCAAACTTCGAGTCGTATCCTGTTATGAATCGGACGCTATTTAAAAACAGCGGAACTCGTACAAAGATGGACGCTCTGTTTGTAGACTTAATATCACAAAGTAAAGTTTCAAATAACCGTTGAATTCATGCAGGTACTTCCGAAAACAATATCTTGTACCTGTATGTTTTCGCTTTACATGTTCGTATAAAGAATTCATCTGTTACGTTAACCAATACTGTCAGTACTAGAAAATTCGGGAAATTATTTTGTTTCTATGGTTAGAACGGGAATGTTAATTTTCTCTTTCTATACATACTGACAAAGCTTTTGGATTGCCTATTGTTTTATTTCGAAACTAAACCACGAGTTTTTGAAATTAAATTGAGTATATGAAAAAACCGAGAAGTCTAAAAAAGAATTAAGAACTTTGCACTCGGATATTGTACTCAATAATAAGACAATTATTAGTACATAGAAAAAAGTATTTAATTTTCACTCAAGGTCCTGTATCTGCTACAAATGGTTGTGTAGGTCAAAGAGGGAATAAAAAAATTAAAATTGTTTAAAGTTTTTTTTTTTCATTTCAGTTACATAATACAGTAGTGTTTTTTTTGTACTTTATAAAAACGTTTTGTGAATACCATATTAGAAAAGAGAAGTATTATTCTATGTTAAGAAACTTGAGGACATTTTTCGAACATTATTTTACTACTGCAATCTTATAACACAAAATTTGTTATATATGTTTAGTTTGACACTCAGCCTTTCGCTTTAAAGCTTCTTCAGAAGCGTTCGACTTAAAAACAAACCGTAACTTTGTTTTTAGGAATTCTTTTAGTTGCACAGTATTTGCATAGGAATTTCAAGAACGTGCAACATTAATGCCCCTAATTTATTTTTGTGAATCATTGAGCTTTTAAGCTATTTAAAACACTAAAAAATAAATGTGAAGCTCAATCTATCATTCGATTCATCACTCGTCACTGAGTTATATCGGCTTCGTGGAATTCTACCTATATTTAGTAACCATGGGCAAGGACAAATGGAAGGAATGAGACTAGGCTTCATATTTTGATGGAGTGTATATGTATGATGGAAATATAGGTTTGGAGAAAAGGTGGACGAAATAAATCGTAACGGCGAAATAATAAACAAGTAATTAGAAATCGGTTCCTCACAATCGATTTTACTTTGATTTGTAAGATCAAAAAGAACATTAGTATTAACACAAATAATTTCAGTTGAATGAAGTTAAGGCATTCAACAATATTACGTACCGTGTCAACAATATATTAACAATTAGCTTTAAAATGAATGGGGTTATCTCGTACGTCTGAGAACTCCAATACTTTTTAAAATTTCAACTTTAAAGATTTCCGTACATTTCAGTAATTCCAAAAAATCCATCTAGATAACCCTCTTAATTTGTTTTTTTAGTTTATCTATTTATTGATTTATTAGTATTGGTGTCATTCATTACGAGAGTTGAACATTCTTATTTTACCGTTTATTTACAGGTTTATCTTGGCAGGAAGAAAGCTGAGATCACGTTTGATAGTAGAGTGGTTACAATAAAAGAATTAGCAGCCCAAATTGAAGACATGGGTTTTGAGGCCTGTCCTGAGGATTCTATCGTTTCTCTGCCAACACTACAGGACGTCACACTACGAGTGCAGGGCATGACTTGTGAATCATGCGTTCGTAACATTGAAAGACGCGTATCGTCACAAGCGGGTGTACATACCGTGAAAGTTTCTCTTCAGGAAGAATTGGCAAGGATTGCATACAATATTAATGAAACGAATCCACAGACGTTACTTAACATCATCAACGAGATGGGTTTCACAGCTACTGTTTCTCCGGAAAATACTAAATCAACGAAATTACAAGAATCCTCCAGGAATTATTCGTCTGTTGTGAGAATCCACATTCAGGGAATGACATGTCAGTCCTGCGTTAGTAAGATAGAAGAAAATTTAATTAACAGTCCAGGTATTAGAAATATAATAGTGTCACTAGAAGATTGCTTGGCCACTGTTAAATTTAACCCCTTAGAAGTTACACCAGAACAGCTACAGAATATGATAGAAGACATGGGGTATGAAGCCACTCTTTTAACAGATAAAGCTAAAAATGTCGCTGTATGTAGTCAAGATAGTAACAGTCATAAAATGAATTCTGACCAAGCTACTGGAACTTTGAAAGTCAAAGGAATGACCTGTATGTCTTGTGTTCATAATATTGAAGATCATATCGGCACGGTGAAAGGTATCATTAGTATTAAAGTATCATTACAGGAGAACTCGGCCACTGTTCAGTACCAGCCTTCTTTGATAAGCCTTCAACAGATAGCAGAAATGATAGACAACATGGGATTTGAATGTGAAGTACAAGACTCCCAGAAGCTGGTAATGGACCCATGGGTACCTCGCATCTCTCATCCACAGAATACAGTAACAAGTAGTGACCAAACAGACATCGGCATTGAGAAGAGAGGTTAGTGTGAAATATACATTAAACTTACACACATAAGTATAAATAAACAATTGCACATCTATATGTACCTGTGACTGCACAGATGTAGCACATGTTTATATGATTAACAATTAGGTGCACATGTTTATTTCCAGGTAATAATTTTTAAAGTGAAATAGTGGTGTGTTACTGGAATGTTTTTAAAGTGGTTACACTCACCGAACTTCAGAATAGTTGACTGCTCCTTATTCTCTAATCTAATGTGACACATTCTCCATATTGAAATGTGGCCATGCATATTTCAAAAAGTAGTATTTTAATTAACTGATATCATCACAAACTTTTACTGTTGATTATGATCCCTTAGTCTCCTGATCTTCTGTTTGTAGTGTAAATATTTGAACTGTGTAAGGTTATTTGGGAATCAATTTATTTTGAGAAAGAATCTACATGTCTGTTTTTCTCTGAGTACGTGTAATTAGCTGTATTTTATGAAGTAGAAACAAGAAAAATAGTTGATTCAGCATAACTATCCCAGTGAGAAGTCATTTAATGCACACTATGGTATTGTGATTTTTGTGTGGAAAAAAACAACATATGTATATGTATATATATATACATGTTAATTATAAATGCAAATTAACACACTGAAGTTTTAGGAGCACATTCTTATTGTTTTTGTAGATGGCAGCAACATTTCATTGTGCTGAGCAATTAGTGCTACTCGTTAATTGATTAATCAATGGGCTCATTAATCAGTTAAATTAGATTAATCAATTAATACATGCCCCCCCACCACCCCCACAGACACATCCATACAAGCAAGAAACAAGATTTCAACTACAACACTATTTTATAACATGCTATTAATCTTGCTCTATTTGTTCAAATTAGTTTTTTAAATAATTTTAAAATTACCTATGGTTTAATATACCTCTTTTGAAGGTTATACAAATTACCTATGGTTTAATATACCTCTTCTGAAGGTTATACAAATTACCTGTGGTTTAATATACCTCTTCTGAAGGTTATACAAATTACCTATGGTTTAATATACCTCTTCTGAAGGTTATATTTTGTGGAAAACATATTTTTTCTAAACAATAGTTTGCAAAAAAAAACATTTTTTATCTAAAGATAAAATTTTGCTACAAATGTTATTTAAGAATAATCTGGACATTTCCTAATTAATGAATGAATTGCTAATGCTGACTAAATACCACCATGTGGTCTACATTGTGTTTGTTTTTAAAATGTGTAGTAATTCCACGCTGATCTATATAAATAAGATAAATTGATGATTAAATAGTGAAATCATATTTTATTAACAATAACAAGGGTAATAATGTTTATATGTAAAACATATCACGGTTGCCATTAGAAATAATTAAGTAATCAGTTAGCCAATTTATTTATTTGTATTGTTTGAATAGGATAAACATAAATATAATGAATAAAGATTTGAGTTGCATATCGTATTCATTAAACTTAATTAAGTTTATCTGATTTTATGTTGATTATATCTGATTAACATAATAAAAAACAATCATGTTTATAAACATTTCATTTCCATAAAACCATAAATATCTATTAAAAAGTAAAAACATCTTAATTTTAAACAAAGAACCAAACATCATCAAAATATCTTTATTAAACATTACACAATCTCTTGTCATGTGACTTTTTAGTTTCACAATGAAAATATATTATTATGTCTATAAAATTTCTTTACCTTTAAAACAGATAAACCTCTGTATTTATTGGTAAATAATCAAACCACTTGATGTGACACCATAAGGTTTCTACTAAGGCCTGTACAAAAACCAAGAGAAACCTATGAAAACCAAGAAATGGATAGTATATTTTCAGGGGGTGATAGGTTCTTTAGTTAAAGCAAAGTTATTTATTGGGATGGGCAGAAAAATTCTAAAACAAATTGACATATGGGCTGTTTTATTTACAAACTCCTGACAGCTATGCAGAAAGAAAGATAAGAACTTTTTTTTCTTTTATTCTGATGACTCAAATCTTTATTGAATATTTTTGTTTATCTTACTCAATCACATGCAGAAATTGACTTACTACCGGATTATTTCTAATTGCAATTGTGATATGTTTTCAATATCAACATTATTTCCCTTATCAGTGATAGTAACATATGTTTTCATTTTTCAATTATCAGTTTATTTTATTTACAAAAGTTTAGTGGGCAATACTGCATATTTCAAAAACAAATAAAATGACAACTAGTTGTTACCTGTAGTTGACTTTAGTGATTAACAGCAATTAATTTACTAACTTGGAAATGTCCAGATTACCATTAAAGAAAAACATTTGTGCTGAATATTTTTGCAAAAAAAATGTAAAACTGAAGGTAATTTTGTAACATGTAAAACTGAAGGTAATTTTGTAACATGTAAAACTGAAGGTAATTTTGTAACATGTAAAACTGAAGGTAATTTTGTAACATGTAAAACATGAAGGTAATTTTGTAACATGTAAAACTGAAGGTAATTTTGTAACATATAAAATTGAGGGTAATTTGAAAATGATTTAAAAAAAATCCAAAAGTAGATGATATAGGAAGATTAATATCATGTTAGGATATGTTATAACAATACAGTGATCCACCAAATTATGAAGTTGGCCAGTTGACTAATCAATTAGCAAACACCCAGCTCTGTTGCACACAGTTCTGTTATTAATTTTTAACTTTGTACTATAATATTTATGAAGCAAAGTTAGTAGATCACAGTGAATATTTGTTTAAAACTGGATTTAAAAATCAAGTTCACTGAAAATGTTTTTTTTATTTATTTTCCAAATTCTTCTTGTGGCTCAAATCAGAAGTCTTCTTGGTAATCATATGGTAACAACAATGTATTTTTTGGAGTCTTGGAAAATAGATATAAAATCCTTGAGAAAGTTTTGGAATTTTGTTCATGACTGTGTACGAACCCTGTTCTGAGCATTTTTCAAGGCCTTTCTGAGAAATCTCAGCACTTTTTTGTAAACTGGTTCTAAACCTTTAGTGGGGACTTTAGTATGGAGGTGGTGTTGAGAAGTAAAACTATATATTTAGACTAATTTTATACAAATATAGTGCATTGCAGCTAATGTGAAGAGTTCTGGTATTGGGCCAAAGGCCTCATTGTCACTGGATGTGGCAGATATATTGTAGTTCACATGTTATTGTACATTCTTTTTGGCTTTCACTTGTAAGTTCTTAGAGATGTAATGTAGAATTATGGAAAGATGAAATAATAATGTGTTCTTAAATGCTTCTAATGCAACTAATCGGAAATCATATATGCATTATGTATAAAAACCAGAAATATATTTTAGTAATTATTAAGCATATACATCAATTTGTTACATTTGTAATTCTAAATTAAATCAAACTGAATTTTCCTTTTGTTTTGATTAAAGTTGAGTTGTCATACTAAAAACAATGCAGTTGTAATACTATAGTACATATAATTAACATTTTCATATTACTTTTTGCTTGATATACTTGGATTGTGTAATGCCAGAGAATGGGTTTAAGATACAAACAGATTTTATAGTCTCTTTTTGTGTGTGTGACAAACCGAATGACTTGTATATTTCATCCAAAGTTGATCATCAGTATTTGTGGAACTACTACTTCTATTTGTTGAAGAAAATATTATATTAAAATATTTAATGTACATAGCATTACTTTTGATTTAATATAGTTAGCACTCTCTTAGATCTACTGTTGTTTATCAGTGAGTGATATTTTAAGGTAAACTGATTTCTCGAAAGAGTAATTTAGGTAGATCTGCTATACAGTGTGTAGTTCGGCAAGAAAAATTGCAAAGTAATACTTATTTCCACTAAAATTAACTGAATATGGACCGGTCGTAAAGTGTGAGAAACAATGAAAATGATCTTTATTTTACACAACTCAACAGTGTGCATGTGCTTCACCTTGTGGACAATAAATTATTACCTTTGCCAGGGTTGCAAGGTGATTAAGCTGGCTATACCATTAAATTTACTGACTCACTCGAGGTAATGTTCCAGACTGATTAAATCTCATGTTACTTAGCTGAATCAATAATGTTGGACTTACTCAAAGCAATAAGTGCTACCCACATGACTGGTCATCCCATTCAAGCATAAGGTAGGTTTTAACCTTTAGATACCACCTGACCTGTCATTGTAAGACAATCTTGTCAACTTCTTGCACAAGGTGCAACTTTACAGCTGTATCTCGCATGGGTAGATCAGATGTTATCACCAAGGTATGATGAAGAACAAATAGAAGTGAATTGACTTACTGACACTTTTGAACATGTTTTATAAAAACTTCACATACCTGAATAAGTTAACATTAATTTTAACTTTAAACCAACTGTATTTACAAATGTACATTGTTTATGGATTATTATAGCTTTCTGACATTCCTATAAACATTTAAATATAAAACAGATGGCACAACCCTTTAACAAGAAAACCATGGCTATAGCTGTTAATTGGCAACACATCTGATAACATTAGGTGACAAACCCTTTAATTTAGGTACAAGCTATAATCTCGCACTACAAAGATCCCCTATAACAAAGATTTATGTATAAAAAACATCCTTTATAAAGTACAATTTAAAGAACATTAAAATGTCCTTTAACAGTTATACATTCTTTACTGAATAAAATGCAGCACAGGAAAGAAACTAACTATCGACAAAATGTAAAAAAATACATAGTAAAACACCCTTTAACAAAGATAATTAGGACATAATTTTCACATTATGAGCTACTCTAGAATAATGATATAGTACTTTGTTAGTATACAATACATATTAGCACCTTTTAACAGCTATAATCATAATACAAAACTATAATGTTGCCAAATAACATGTATACATACACACTTGAAGGAATACATTTTATAAAAATGGAACATTCAATAAAATCAAAAGAAAAAAAAGTCATATTGAAACAAGGCCTCCAAAAAATTACTAAATACTAAGATTCAAGCTTAAAAAGGCTTTTGAA